CCCCCCCCCCCCCCCCCCTCCGTCCAACACATATTTTTGTCGCAGAGGAATTTGACTCACTGGTATTGCGCTACGGCGCTCCGTTTGCGCTCGTCTTTCAGCGCTTTTCTCTCCGCCTCCTCGGTCTCTCTGACAACCCTGTCCAGCATCGCCTTCTCCTCGCGCTCCTGGTTTTCCTTGTCTAGGCGCTCTCGTGCTTTCCCTTGCTCTCGCAGCAAACTGTGCCGCCAGACGACGGTTGTTGTCGAAACAATAAAGGCAGCGTTGCACAGAGAGAGCGCCTGGAGTGAAAGAGGCCGGACCCTTGGTCATGGAGTAGCGGCCTTGGATGTTGGTGATCAAACCTTCACCGCAGTTCTTCTCTCCTCACGAATATAAACCTTAAACCTTCTTCCTTTCCATCCTTCTTGCAGCTGGTGACGCAACTGGTTTGTCACGCCATCCCCGGGCACATTTGCACAATCTCACCGTGTGCGAAGAAGCACAGGGAAACCCGGAGGCGCCAGCAACACTGAACGGAGCTAAACAGAGGGCGCCGGAGCTTGTTGCTGCCAACAGTACGAACGGGTGTTCTCAGATTACTCGGCAAAGACATGTTGTAGTTTGATCTGAAAACACATTTGATGTGAGTCAACTCACTTGTCGAGTTCCTTGCGCCTACGCTCGCGATCTTCTCGCTCGATCGCCCTCGCCGCCGACTCCCTCTCCTCGTTGCGCAGTGTCTCGAACGCCTTCTTGCCCCAGATAACAAGTTCCTCCACTTTCCGCGCGTGCCTCTAACAAGACCAAACGAAGTCGAAAGGGCGGTCCCCCCACCCCGCAATCAGATGATAGGGGAGCACCACGCACTTCAAGACCATGCCCGTCTGATTTGCTTTAACGTTTGATCTCTCAGTAGATCCAGGGCCACACACAGCTTTTCGTGTCCTAGTGCTATCACTCTCACCGCACAGAAGCGACATTCCATCCATGCCGCACCTGCTTTTCGGCTCTCTTCTTCGCTAGGAAGACGCCTCGCAGACGGTACCAAGACTCGTGGTTGGATATCTCGGCGGGGGACACCCCAGGCAGGCCGGCCAACAGACGTTTCGTCGTGGCGCCGCTTGAGTCTGACGAACCACCTAGGTACCCGCCGGCACCGCCGACCGCTCGACCGGTGGCTCCCTTTGCAGCCTTTATGATTTTCATGAACCTTTGAATTGGTTGTCGAACGCATGATGACGCTCATCAAAAGACAACGGAATCACAGAAGCTCAAGACGCAAACAAACATTTTATTGCCGCAAAGGGAGTTGATAGAAAACCCGGGGTCTTTTCTTCTCGTCTGTTGTAGAGCCGTTAGAAACGAGCCGAACGGCTGCGTGGATGAAGAGCTCGAACCGGAAAGACAGACAAGAGTGGGCTGTGAAGGGGCGAAAAGGGGGTGAGACGCCGGTGACGCTGCTGCAGGGCTGTTCCTTTCCTCGAGAAACTCGTGAATCCCACACACCATACTCAAGCTGGGTATCCACAATTGAGCCGTTCTATTGGAAATGCGGTCTAACCTGAAGTGCCGGTCGGAGGGCCAGCCACCGTTCTGATCGAACGCGGCCTCCGCGCTGCCTGCAGAAGTCGATCCCGCCGCGTCTCGCAGGAAGTCGCTACGCAATGCGGTAAGCGTTGAATTATGTTCGGCCTCGAGAGCATGCAGCCTGAAACATCCACGAGCGCCGGATGATGAACGTCAGGGAGGGACCAGAACGGGCTATCAATGATGGCCAAAGTTTCTTAAGTATTCCGCCCCTACCTGGGGTGCCGCCGGCGAAAGGGCTGAGGCTTTATTTCGAGCAATCCATTTCTTTCCTAAGGGTTAGGGTTAGAGAGAATAGCTGGTGCAAACTTTGCCTTGATATTTTAAGAGTTTACCCCTCACGATGCTGTTTAATGGTGGCAATGTTTCAAAGTCAACAATCAACCACCCGCGTGTTCGACGGACCCTATAATTTCAGCATTCTACTAACGTCGCGGACGCCTCGCCTGCTGGAGATTTCCGAGCGCATCATTGCTCCGTGAAATTCGTCAACGCCCGAGTCTCCGCTCACGTCAGCACTCTTCTCGCACTCGCCGAACCCAATGTTGGCTAGGACTGACCCGAGCTCAGAGGACACACGGTCTGCTCGGTCTTGGGAGAGCACCGAAGCCAGGGCCCGCTTCGAGCTATCCACCTCAGCTTCTAACTCTCTCGACCGTTCAGCGAGATAGGTTCCAGCCTTTGTATGCGCCACACGTGCCTGGTTTTCAGTGAGACAACCAGTGCCGATGCCCATGCTTCCGTTCTTAGAGTTGTGGCGGTTGCCTACCTCGGAGTATCTGACAGCTGCAACGAGTCTCGGCAGCTGCAACTAGAACGCGGTCGGATGAAATGTGGCAAAGAGTTTGCATGTTCTGGAACGTTTACTCGTACGGCATTGCCACCCGAACCGCAACACCCTCCCCAACGCAGTGCTTATCTTCCCTGTTGCCGCGAGAAGGGGTCAGCTGTCATATTCCCCTCGGACTTGTTCCCCACTTCGTGGTCAATGTTTACTTAATGTCGCTCTATACGTGTCCTTTATTCACCAGATTGTTGCGTTTCTATCCTCCAGTACTCCTTCATTTAGATGTAGCTCTCCTTTGTTCTGCGTGTTTCTGCTGTCACGTTCGGCTTTCAATCCGCATTTCGAATCCCTCAAGATCTCCTTGCTCGAGAGTGTTGTGTGACAGCGTGTTGCAATCGGAACGTACACGACAACAGAGTAGTGGGATGTGACCGAGAACGGCGTGGTTACGCGCGCTGCCATCGCATCGCCCACACAAGCAACGAACGTAACACCAGCCAATTACACCACATATCCACCAACCCGTATTTACAGTACTGGGTGTACAATAGATACCACCGTCTTTTAGTTGCCTCGCGCCTGCGGCACGCATCGGGTGTAGTGTTGTCACCTGAACAAGCAGCTCTGCCACGACGCCTTCTTGGGACCCGCCGCTACTCTTGGACACGAATTCCGCGACAATATCCCGAAGCTCTTTGATGTGAAAGCGGTCGGCTTGCAAATCTGAAATTCGGGCTCTCTCCAGTTCCTGCGCACTCGCTGAGAGGTCGGCAAGCTCTTTCGGCACATGCGGCGGCCGCTGGGGTGATGGCTGTGATGCTCTAGTACTGTCGACATTGATGCTGTTCGTCGAGATCCCATGCGACTCACTCCCGCCAATGGTACTTGCATCTTGATCATGGATCGTAACGCTTTCGCTAGTTGATGAAAAGGTAAGCCCACCCCAAGCCGGAGCGATGGGATGACAGCCTCCGCCCCTCTGTGTAGATGACTTTAGAAATACCTGCAATTTGAGAAATTCAGCAGCACCGGTGCGCTTACGTCGATACCGATGCGCTCATAGCAACCATACGGCGCGTGACAAGCTCCAACCGCACTTTTTTTTTTTTTTCTGCCATCTCTTCGTCAACCCGCTTTCGCAGAGTTCACCTCAGAACCTGTCTTACCTCTTGCTGAAGAGCTCCGATCCAAGGTCACAAGGTCACACGAAGACTCCGATACTTCGTGAGAAAGGTTAAGCGGTTCCTTCCAAAAAGTGTACTAACGAATCGGCGGAAACAACCACATAGCCGTGATTCGAATTGCCGAACCCTTCGCGCTGGACGATGTTCGAGGTCAACGGCTACCGTGCATAAATCGTGTGCAGTTATAGAGCAGTGGTATGAAAACAACAAGTTGCTAATATACCGTTGATGACACAAGATATCACACCCCCTAGACCGGTTTTCAAGACTCGATTGCTCCACACCAGAAAGAGCGATGAAGCCGAAACGGCAGCTACAAAACCACCTCCCTGAGAGATTTCTGAAAGAGTATAATGTAATTTTGGATTTCTCTTCGTCGTGGAGTAGTCGAGCGTTCAGAATCTGAGAATCTGACAAGGGGGTGTGCTATGTTCAGTACGGCAAAGACAACCCGCTTTGGAGATCACAAGACAATCAGTCATAGACTACACTGCCGAGCGGCCGTACGCAAAACTTGCCAGTAGCTATGTACCTCGATGGATTTCGTGAGCTCCTTGCTCGCGCATTGGAGTTGCGCATCCTCCTGCTGCCAGTCTGCTTTCCACCGATCCTGCCGCACCCGCTTCTTGTGCCGCCGCTTGAAACTCGTGAGGCGATCCAGCGCCTTCAACACCCGCGAAGTATAGTGCGAAAACTGCAATTAGCTTCATGAGCCCTCGGAACGCTACAGGTGAGCGTGTCATACTGTCCGTCTACGATCCGAGACACCTACAAAGTGTGTGCCCTGCCCCTACAGAGTGTATGTACCTGCGTGTACCGTTCCCCGTTGGTGTCATCGACATGCGGCGGATCTTGTGCTCGGATCTCCGTCGTGTCGCGAGCGCGCAGCTGTCGAAAGGTCCTGATTGTCGCTCCCCGATCTATCTGCATGGACCTGATCGCGCCCACATTTGACCTTGAATTAGTTGAGCTCATATGTACCCATGTACGTTGCCGCCTTGCGTGTGTCCAGGTACGTGGGAGGAGAGGGCACTATTGCGCGCCAACAACACAACAAAACATGCCAAAATGCGGTGCAACTGATGACGTTTCGAACACATGTTCTGACGATGCACCAACAGCTAGCTGCGTATCCGCGGGGGGCAGAAAAGACGTGGATTTGCACTTACATATGCATAGGTAAGAGCTCCAAAGGGGAGCCTAGTACGGCCGTATGTCGAACTAGTGTGTCAGTATGTAATGGGGTTTCGAGAAGATGCGGTCTTTCTCGAGGCCACTGGATCGAGAAGCGATGCTGGCGGCACGAGCACCGGGCTGCTGTCATCCAGGTGGGTAGCAGCAGCACTATCGGGACAGAAGAGCAGCAGCATTCGCAATGTCGATGCCGAAGCTTCCTCGTTGTGGAAGAAAAAATGGGCGGGGATGCGCCTGGTGGACACCGTGAAACTCGACGATTCTGGCGAGGTTGAGAGCTGGATCTTCACCGCGAAGACGGGCCATGTCACGAGCAAGAAGAGGGCGCAAGGTCGGGCCAAGATCGCCGAAAGATTCGATAGTTTTGCGCTGGCGAATCCCCGAAATACCGAGAGATTTGTTGCTCTTCTAATACCAACACGCCCCCAAATTGGCGAATGCCCGGAGGGGCGCGTCGTCTTAGATCAGAAGGCTTTGCGAGAGGCCATGCTGCTGGCCGGATCGTCGCAGGAAATGCCGCAAGAGCTGTTAGGTGCAACACTCCAATGCTACCTTCGACCGCAAAACGGATCGAACTCTTTCTTGCGGGCATGCTACCACTGCCAAGAAGAGGGCCCACCCTCTTACACTCTTCATAGGGTTTCCCCGTTATTTCGAGTGCCAGATTCGGTAGACAGGGTCGCCGCTGCTGAAGGTGTCGCGGTACCTAGGAGCGAGTCGGTCGTCGAGGGCGCCGATCCAGAGTCCGTGAGACTTCGGAGCGAGACGAAGGGAGTCCTCGGCAGCCTTGTAGCATTCCTGACCACACGACTTGCTTGTGAGGTTGGCAACGAAGGCCGGCAGCAGAAGGTTCTAACGTGCAAAGCTGATTTTGTTGTTGACGACAACGGAGAGCTCTGGCTGACTTCTTTGCCTTCCGTGACAGTGCCATCTACGCCAGGGATTGGACCGTCAAATCCGTCTATTCTAAGTTCGGAACTGTCTACATTTCCTTCATCAGACGATACCACCTATTCGATAGAGGAAAGGCAGGGTTGTTTTGACGGCGGCAAGGAGGGTGGCGTGGGAGTGTCTAGCCCGTCGTCAGTACACATGCCCCCCCTCCTCGGCAATATACCTGTTGTTCCGCAAATCGCTGCCCCCCTCGATGGAAGTGGCAGCACTCCTCTAGGAAGTGCACGACGTCAACCAACGTCGGCAAGATCAAACGGACAGTCGATCACGGAAGATGTCTCTGTACGGAAGAAGCTCGCCATCAATGAGGGTTCGTCGGTGACAGGGGAGCTCCCCGAGATCCCTTCGACTATGCTGGGCCCGAGGAGTGCCTCTGGTGATCACAATGGTAGGTCTAAAGGGGAGGAGGGGGAGGGCGAAAGGGCGCCCATCATTGAGAAGAAGGGAGGGGTGTACGTGGCACACGTTCACTCTAGCGCCTTACGCGGGCTGTGCTGCTGGCGTGAGGTGAGTCCAGGGGCCGCAAATTGATGCCAGACCCCCGTGAGGAGTAGGTCAAGACCTACTCGGTTCGCGTTTAGCCCAATTCTCTACATCACACAGAAATACATGGACCGTTTAACCCCCCTGCGCTTGCCGAATGCAAGGACGAACAATGTCCATTCGAAGGTCCTTCACGCGTTTCCATGGCTATTTGCAGATGTATTATTTGTCCCCCTCCGCTGGGCGATTCCGCTGTGTGCGTGTTCAGCGGTCATGCCAGTACTAGCCCGCACCTCTTTCAATCTGCGTATCGTCCCCTCTGTTTATTACTCCCTCAAATGGTGGCTTGGATGGATCTATCGGATCACGCCTTCCGGCTATTTGACAACAGCGCCCAGTGGACAGGAGGGGGAGTGCCTCGCATGGCCGAGACTCGCCAAGGTGGCAACTCGTGGAGGCCCGCTACAAGGGAAACCTCGCCAGCAAGGAGCACCGAAGAGACGGAAGTGACGCTGGCAGCGCCAACGCTGTCTTCGAGGGCACGTCCTCGCCTGCCTCTTTCGATGAGTTGTCTAAGGCTCGGTTCAAGGTGAATTTTTGTAGACGTTTGGAGCTTATACTTTAGCTCTTCGCTGTAGAGTTGTTTATTGTGCACCGTCACGGGTACATGGTAGCAGAAGACCGGCGTGAGAGTCTCATCGATGAATGTGCGAGCGCTATTTGAAGGCGTAACCAACACATGCCGTAGGATACACTGGAAAATGTCCCAAGGAAGCAAGCAGCTAAGGCAGTGCTGACTGCTGTCGGTGTGGCGTTTGTTACTACTATTGTACAAAAAGAGACCCAACGTGCACACCTTGGGACGTACCACATCATTTTCTGACCACCCTCCCCTCCCTTCTATGAACAACCCCCCTGCACCAGATGACAGCACGTTCAGTGCTCCTAGCCAGGGCGGTAGAGTCGTTTCTGTGGGGGGAGGAGCCGCTTCATATCGCCGACAAGAGAAAAATTGGCTACGGTGTCAAAGGTGGCAGCGGTACCAAAATTTCTCTTTCGCAGCGCTGGCGGGAGTACGATCAACAGGCTCAGCTTTCCTTAGCAAGCGCAAATCCACAGGTGAGAGAAAGTAAATTGGCGCTGCTAAAAGCCAATTCGCGGCTTCAAAACCGGCGGCGCTCGACGTGAACGAGGATAGGGTTTTGATGAGGTTGGACGGGGCGTCGACAGAATGCCACAGCAGAGGGGAGAGTGGGGTGGATAAGGGAAAGGTGGGGCGGATAAGGGGAATATAATTCCTTGGAATGCCACTAGTGTCTTATCGTCGGCAACCTTCATGTTCCAGGCGAAAAGATTAAAAGTGTCCGAACTGATGATCATTAGTGATGTGAGCACTACCTTCAAGCCGTTTTCGCCCACAAAATTTGGACAAAGAACACTAAATTGCTAGCAATTATCTTCTATCTCGTTCTGTTATGTTTATCCTTGAACATCACTCAATAATTTGCAGCTCTAGTACGAGCAGGTCGGCATTGGCTTCAGGACTGCTTGCACGGTTGGAAACGAGCACCGCTTTTCCTGGCTAACGTCCCCATCTATTCAACTACAACAGTTACCCACCATCCCGCACAATGAAAGGCGTTCCTGGGGACATAATCTTGACGAAGCACCCATGCGAGTGAGTATTTCATTCCACCCCCTGCATTCCCCCACGCTAAAGGCGAACGGAATAATTCGAAGCCTTGCCCCTTCCTGTCTCTTTGGTTCCAGGCTTACTACGACGAAGTCACGGTGTGCGGAAACTGCATGGAGATATGCCGCAAGCTTGATTCCATCCGAGCGTCGGGCTTTCCGGACCCTGCCGGTGCCGCTCTCGCTGGTGGTACGACCACCGCGGGTGCCACCTGGTCCAGCGGGGATGCTCGCAGCTTGTCGGCCGAACCCGCTCTGCGACCGAGGTCTGAACCGCTCCCTGAGTGCATCGCCGCGACAACAGGAAACGAAAGACGGCCGGGCACAGCGGCAACGGAACGCGAGGCTGGCGCCGCTACAATGGCTGCGGATAATTCTCGTCCAGGACCGCCAGGAGAAGCGGTGAATCCCGACGGAGACACAACCCATGAAGGGAGAGATGCAGTCGTGATGGAAAGAGATTCGAGAAGAGATGCCGACTTGGAAGGTTCGCAGATAGTGCGACCGAACGAGAATATTGAGAGTAGCAGCACCAGCTTGGAGGAGTCGACGCCCAAACGTTCTGGAGGTGAAGTTTCCACGAGTGCTGGACCAAAACCAGAGAAGGACGTCGACATCAAAGGAGAAGGGAACGAAGAAACGGGGTTGGTAGGAGCGACTAGAACGGCGCCCTCTGGCAACGAAAAGGCTTCGCCCGTGCGCCTCGAGAAGGTGACCATGCTCCTGCTGAATCATAGAGCAGCCAAATCAGCATAGTACAGAAATATTCTGGTGAGACCAGGCTCGGTCATGACGTACAAGGCAAGCGTACAAGAAAACAAGCAATGTGCGAACACCCCCCTGCCTAGGCTTGCAGTACGCAGGCATCAACCATATCAAGCGTGTGCCGATGATTTCCGAAGGACCGTCACCATAACCCTACGATAGACCAACGGAAGGAAGCCCCGACTTTGACCCAATCATCTCCGCCCCCCTCAACACTTTTCTTTTGATCACCAACTAGCGAAACACTGCGAAAGCCACCATGGAGCGTATGTCAAGCGTTTACGGCGAGGGCACCAAAACGGGCGAGAGAAATCATGCAAAATCAGGTGGCAGCAATAAGGGCAAGAAGGGCACCAACAAGAAAACAGGCGGCGGTGGTGGCGCTGTCGGCGGTGAGTTACCTAATGTGGCCACCATCGCGCGCTTTGCCATCGAGCGCGAGCGACTGGCGCGAGAGATGGGGGTAGATGAACTAGGCGGCCCTGCTACCCTAGGAGTTGTGAACTTTGGTACGACTGCAGCGGCACACGGGCGTCGGCAGAACAAGGGTCACCTCAACGACGAGGTCGGGGGTGTCGGGAGCAAGCGGGTCAAGAACCACCAGCAACGGAGGGGCAGGGGAGGTGGCGTCAATGGTAGTAACGGAGTCGGAGACTACCGTATCGGCGAGAATACTGTTAATCCTTTGCCTGCAGCATCGGGAGCTTTGGCAGGTGAGAAAATCGCCGGAGAAACGCTGCTGGACAGGCTGGAAAGCGTCGCCGAGGCCAAAAGTATTGAGTCAGCCGGCGGCGTCCACGGTGGTGGCAGCCGTGCAGAAGAATATGTAAGACACGACGACTGGCGCCACAACGCCGAGGAAGAATCATCGCTTTTCAGCGATCCCGCACGAAATAATGGACCACGAGTGGCCGGAGGAGAAGCAGCATGGGACCCCGCCCCTCCCCCTTTGGCCGCAGAGCTTTCTACAACCGAGTCGGCGTTCTTGGAACGTTCCCGACGGCACGTTGGCCTCGACGGCGGAGGTGCAGCTGCGTCAGGGTTAGGAGGTGGCGATGACTCCCTGTTTGGCAATTACTTCGAGGCGGGCTTCCGGAACGAGAGCGGCGGCGTCGGTGGCAGCGGAAGCAGCGGCGGCGGTCGCGGCGATGGGAGTGGCGGGGGGCATGTCGCGACAATAGGCGCACTGCGAGATAGGCTTGCGAGCGTGGAGGGCGAGAACGCCGCACTGAGGGCGAGGGCCCGGAGAGCGGAAGAGGAGCGGGCGGCGGAAGCAGCCAGGGGTGACAGGGCTAGCAGAAAGCTGGCGCAGGTGATGCTTGCCCCGCGCTTGTTTCTTTGATGCGTGAGGTTCCAAGTCGGAGTTGAGCTTGACTGCGGCGAAAGGGTGATTTGGCCGACTTAAACGGTGGACGTTCCTTTCGCCATGCCTGTCGAACTTTTTGTTGCACTGATATTTCGCTCTCGTGTGATATTGGTGTTGCAAGCCGTCGGTCCTTTTTGTGACTGACGACGGCATTGGTTGGTTCGACATGCACCACAGACGATCTTGTATATTCATAGCCCAATCCGATGAAAGCTCTAGAAATGAGAGATCGAGACTTTGGTTCGTGAAGAATATCAAGTCACTACCAAGCTTCCTACACACCCATGAAGCGCACTATCTCTCCTCCACCTTTTGGCATCCTCCCTGATGTCTCGCCAACTTCAAGGTTGAGCGACAAGGGAAAAACGTACCCCAACTCATTCAATATGAACCGACCAATCTGTAGAAGAATATTATCAGCACCCCAAATAGAGTTTAATAGCTAGGAGGATAGACGAACATCCCACGAGGCCGAAGGGCACGTTGATTTCACAGCGAACAACTACGCGGAACACCACCCTGGGCCCCCCATTTTCACACTAAAATTTTGTCTCAGATAGACCCCAAACGTTGCAACTGTGAATGCAGGCGCGAACGGAATTTTCGCGGGCCATGTCGGAGAAGGACGAGGATTACCGCCGGAGGAAGCTGGCCTTAGAGGAGAGACACTCTCGAGAGCTTCTAAAACAATCGCAGACTTCTGCCGAAGAGATGATGATAGGGGTATCGGGGTCAGGCGAAGACAGCGAGGGGTCGGGAGCCGGCCAGGGCGGTGACACGAAGGCTGTTGCACCGGGCGCGATGAAACGCAAATCTAGCAAGGCAAGCAAACGTCGGTCTATCCATCATTCAGTCAATCGATGCGTCAATCAGTGTCTTCGTTGCCGGGGCAGTTCAGCTACTAGCTTTTCATCGATTTATCTTGTATCAATTCCCAATGTGACAGTCTGCATTGCGGGCTAGCCCCTTGCAGAGGTAGCAAGGCCTACGCAAGCCGAAGACAGCAAACGGACGTCGGTCCGCCATCACGCCAATCTTTGGCGAGAAATGACAATGTATTTGATTCCTCAACAGAGCGTGGTCGAAAGGATCGGTCGATGTCGATGGGGAGAGGTCTTTTTTTTTTTGTTGATATCGGTTCATTGACCTTGTAACCATGCATTCCTTTCGAGACGGTGGGGCGTTACTCACCACCCTGAACACGCATTCCTTGCGAGACCAACGGCAGTTCCTACTCCCGACCAACACTCCTCCAACATTTGGTAAGAAAGGAAGGAGAGATCAGTCTTGCCACAGCGCCCAATACTTCGCATGTGCATATTCCATAACCCCCTCCCCGTACTACGGGACGTTATTTCAGAGCTTGATAGCACGATTGGATCAAGCCTTTCAGGACATGGCCGAGCAGCAGCGCCGCTTTGCTCAGACCAAGAGAAATCTACTCGCCGAGAAGACTATGGAGGTACGCGTGACCATCAACACGATGAGAAACGAAACTGTGCTTTGTTCTGTAATACTCCCAGTAAAAGAGGGGCCAAGGAAATCAGGCAGACAAGGCCCAGTAGTGAAGCATCGTTTGAGATACGTCGTCTTAATTTCTGCGAATATTCTGTTGGCATGCACGACCAAGCCGCCGCTAAATCCTCACAATCGACTCACTAGCCTATCGATCGTCGAAGAGACGTTGTTCAACACCTTTGAGATCATGCTAGGCACGTACTTCGGCTTCATCCAGGCAGAAAACTACTCCTCCAGTCCCCATCTAGCTGCTTGATGCTGATGGATTCTCGATCAGCCTTTGGCGGGGACGCAAGCATAGGCGCACCTTGTTTGTTCGTGGCACACGTACTCGTGAAAACAGTCGCGCCTGTTGCCCCAGTCTCCTGTGTGTCGCTTCCAACACCTCAGGCAATCTCGTCTGGCCGAGAAGGCAGTATTTTCTAGCCCCCCGTTAGCCCTGCCATTCCTCCAACAACAGCTCTGCGTTCTGGGACATCACCCCCCCCACTACACACGTATACAACACGTGCCGCGCCTTCTTGACCCAAATGTGGTCGAAACGGCCACAAACGTACGCCATCCAGGTAGCCGCAGCCGAGGCAAAGGGGCGGCGCGAGCTCCAAGAAGCTCGAACCTTGGCGGCGGCTATGGAGGACAAAGCTTCTTCTCTACAGGAGCACGTGAGCGAACACTGTCGGGGTCAGGGGGACGGAGCGTGATCGATAGGTGTTTCGCTTTGACCGAAAGAATTGTTTTCTAGCGGAGTTTCGAGCCTTGCAATACGAGCCGGGCACCGTTGACGATTAAGAAATTTCGTGCTACAATTACAATTGACTAAGCAGGTGTCGGAAGCAGCGAAGAAAATCTCGACCTTCAAGGCGATGGAAGAGGAGCAGAGGAAGAGGCGTCAGTCCGCCGAAGAAGACACCGACAAGATCAGGAAAGTGAGGAGCAGCTCCACAGATGCATTTTATGTTTAAACTTTCTCAAAACCAACGGTCAGAGTGTCTTCACTCTCCTCAAGTAGTGTTTACCGATTCGCTTGTCCCACTGGACTTCGTGATAGTTTGACGATTACAAGCATCTGCGCGGGTGGGCTGTTGCGCTCCTGGTAAGTTTTATGACACCTATTGCATGTATACGATGACTCTGATATGACCATCATCGTGAAACCTCAACAATCATGAAGTCGCCCGCTTGTGTGGCAGAAAGCACAGACCGACCTGGTCGCAAGTCATGCCCGCAGCACGCACTCATACCCCGATTCTCTTCCGACGACCCGGAGCACTTTGATCCCCAAAGCATTGGAGGGAGCCAGCCATTGTTGTGTGGGAACCGTGCCAACAAATCACCCTCCCTCGAAAAAAGCGAGCAGCGCCAAATCCTTTTCAGTCAAGGTGCTCTTCCTCACTCCCTACCTTGGTGCCACTCACGGCGCTCACGGTAGGAAATAAGCGTGCTGCGTCAAACCGTGCAAGCGAGCCAGTCGGTGGACGTGGCAGACGAATCCGGCGGGCGGCGCGACGCGCAGAGCACCTTGGCAGCCGTGACGGCCACCTCAGAGGCGAGGATTCGTACCCTCAACAACAAGGTGAGCGTGGCACAACGTGGCAGAGTAGGTGCAGAAGATAAGAGAGGCTGGATGGGCCCGGGCGTGTGCTCCTGTTCAGTTGGGGCTCGGCGCCGTTTAGGTGGACGAAAAGCAGGCGACGTTCAATGAACGAACCTGCACATCAATCGGTCATTTCACTATCAGAGAACGAACCACTAAATCCACTCTATTTCTCTTCCAGACAAGCCATTTACACGTCCATGCCCTTCCAATATTCAAGGTGGATTTTCTGAAGGCACAGCTTGCCTCGGAGCAGACGCTGAAGGCGGAAGTCGAAGCTGCCCTCGGTGAGCGGTCAACTAAATCCTTAACTTTTGAACTACACCGGACCCGCCAACACGTCATGTTCGGTTATCAACACGAATTGGTGGCTCAGGCACCCATTTTGAACTGCCGCCAATCTCCAGCAAGGCTCCTTCCATCCGGGAGTTGGTGTGTCCGAAACGATGGGTGTGGAACACTCACCTAAGGCTGTGGGACCCCGCTGCGTAGAAGTTCGGGTGGATATGTCCCGCAGCCCCGTTTCCTCCGTTTTGTCGGCCACCCTCTGTTGAACCCAATCTAACTAGCCTACCGTGGTTCACCATAACGCTCTCCATCATCGCCGGTGTTGCCTCCCACTTGGTGTTGCCCCCTACTTGATTGAAACAACGCCAACACTCGAAAATGACAACGACGACAACGACGACGACAGCGCTGTCGCGGAAGAGTGTGTTCGAGGCCAAGGATGAGTCCAGGAAGCAGGCCGCGGCGGCAGACAAGGCTAGGGAGGCGGCCGTCGAGGAAGCGGTGAGCCGCGTCAACCGGCAAGTTGAGGAGAGCATGAGCGAGACCTATAGGTACGGGATGGCTGTATCGTGAATGCGCGGGTTCACATCAATTGGTTTTGCCCGTAAATGTTGCATGGTTTTCGATTCACTGTGCTTCTGCGAACCGGTTCCTAGACACCGTAGTCACTGAAGCCGTTAAAGGATGTCGGACTAAAACACGGATTCCGCTGTACGTTTGCATGTGAGCAGAAATATGCTTGATCTCACTGCCCGGGGGGGGGAATGAACGATATTTTAGTCTAATATGATTACAGTCCATACCTACAACCCCAACAAGGGCTCAAGTTAAATGGTGCTGAATTTAGTGTTCCCGCCTCGTGCACGCCCAAGGGTCCAATCCAAGGTACAGACTCTGCAAGACCAGCTTAGCGATGCGCTGGGCGATCTATCCATGGCTAGAAGGAGAGAAGAGGCACTAAAGGCGGAGGTTGCGGTGATGGCTACCAAATTGGAGGATCGGGGGACGGAGCTCGCCAAAGCGCAGGTAATCTCTCACAAGCGATCAACGCTTCACTCGTCTAGAAGATGTGCGGCCGTCTATTCAGGGAGAACGAGCTCACAAGTCGCCAACTTTCGTCACCTTCCGCTGAGGTTCTCATGTTCTCCTTGCCTAGTAACCAAGAACAACAGGGCGGGCGCCGTCACAATCGAACGATGTGACGTTTCGGGCTAGCCAGGACGTACGAGGGAATAGTGTTGACACGTTCGGGACCTCTTAGACGGCCTCCGGACGGGCCTTTCCTTTTGTTGTCTCTTTGCACATGAAAAGCCGCATACCCCCTGTGTTTCGGGGATGTGGGTTACGTCTCTAGACTACATCGTAAGGCTTCTAGTCCAAACGCTTCTACGTGTTTCATACTTGAGTGTGGGTTATTGCTACGTTGTTGAACTCGGAGTCAGGAACCGAGGGCTTCTCTGCCGACGAATCATATCGAAGGGGGTAGTACGTCATTTTCTGCGTCTTGGCACCCATGGATCAAGTCTTATTCGTGCAATCAGTTTCGACCCTCCACCGTCCTGTGGTATTCGGTTTGTTCATATTTGCTGTGCGAATTTGTCCACGTTGTGATGTCTCGTACGCGTTCAACACCAGACCAGTCATTGTCTCCAAAGCATCCCTTGTCTTCCCGACGAAAGCAACGACCATCCTGCCAACTTGAGCCCGACCCCCAACTTGTGCGCTACGACAAGCAACACGTATCGTACATTTTCGAAATCGTCGCCGATATTACCGCTACCACTGCCTACACCCTACGCAGTCGAGAGCCGACGACCTCGCCGAAGCACGCGCTGCCGATGCGGAGTCCTCCGCCGACCGGGCCGCTCGGGAGGCGGTGGTGCGCCGGCTGGACAACGAGCGGCAGTACCTCAAGAGCCAGCTTCAGACGGAGATCACGTGCAAAGACGAACTCCGGGAGGCCCTTGCAAAGGCCACTCGACAGCTAGGAGACATCAAGGTTGGTGTGTGAAGCACGACATGTACTGCATGGGCTCTCTGCGGTGTACCAAGACAGCCATCTGTACAAGTTGGCCGGTCACTTCTGGCAGTACCACACGATGAGAAGAAACAATGAAGCCAGCGTTCTCGCACAAAGAGATGAAGGTGGACCAGTTTTTTTCGGGATGAGGTCGGGAGAAGTGAACGTGAGGTGTTGTTCTCCGAGGAACCTCTATGCGCAAATATATCAATGTTGTGGAAGATAACGCCAAGCGCTAGCAGCATTTGGTACTCAACGGTTCAGCATTACTTTCAGTATCATAAGTTGGAACAAAAAATCTCGGTCGAGAAAGTTCCGTGACATTTCAAAGGTGTTGATACCTTGGACCCACAAGTGATGAAAGTCATCAAAGTCACGGGGTTTAGCGAGTGGCTTGGGGTTTCAAGGTGACAAAATAGGGTTGTTGTTACCCGCGAAAAGGGTCTGTTTATTCTTCGCGTGAGTTCACAACGTCGTGTGCCGTGTGTTGGGTGCAAGCAAGGTGGACTGGGCCGACGAACAAGCCTCGAGGACGGATGAGTTTCAGCAAGAACTGCAGGTCAAGACGAAGGCGATGGGCGATCTCAACGCCGAAAAGGTAGGAACGACTAACGGTCCATCGAAGCTTGGGGTTGTAATTGATAGACCGTTAAGCTTTGCAACGCACGTTCACTCACACATTAGCGTGCGTTCAGAATGCCAAAGCCTCGTCAAGAGCTCGCCGACACTGTATGGGCTGGTTTGGAAAGCCTTTACTTTGGGGGGGGGGGGGGGG